TTACTTGTTTCCAGTGTGCTGGAGTGTCCAAAATCCAAGTTCAAACCCCATGTCATAAATATTTTTCAGTTTTAATTTTCATAATTAACTGTTTTGTATACTTCAGTTGTATGTTTTGCAAGATTTTATTCCATTTTCTGGACTTATTTTCAGAGAAATACAAATAATTGAAAAATACCATTTTTCATAGTTTTTGCCCCCCAAAAGCCACTTAGCATCAACATCCAAGGGAGGACTTTTTATATATTGTTTACATAACTATTGTAAACGATATAAACACATAACCATTTCTGTACCAATTTATTTGAGGTTCAGTGATTTTTTCCACTAATTTCACTGGACTAGATCGATTGTTTGCCGACATGTCTGAACTTGATATTGTTTCAGAAGTGAAAGATCAAGGGGTGACATACGTTAAGCGTTTTACAACACTTAAAAACGAGGAAACCATTCAGACTAATACGTACCTCTTCAAATGCTCCCAGATCAGTAAAGGCGGGATATTGTGACATTAACGTCGACACCTACATACCAAATCCTTTAAGGTGTTTTAAATGCCAGAAGTTTGGTCATAGTGTTAGTACTTGCACATTGTCTGTTGTGTGTGCTCACTGTGATGAGAAGACACACATAACAGGAGATTGTGACAGCGACTTTAAGAAATGTACAAACTGTGCAGGCAATCACTCATCATTCTCAAAAGAATGTCCGATCTGGAAACAGCAGATGGAGACAAATAAGATAAAGTTCACTCAAAACAGTAGTTTTCCTGAGGCCAAAAAGCTTGTCTTAAGATCTGAAATGAAGGAAACCTATGCATCCTTAGCCAAAACATTGTCTCATTCAACTTCTCCAATAGCCAAATCATCTGTAAGCTGTCAGACGAATTTAACTTGGCTCAAATCCGATTCTCCTAAGATGTTGTCACCTGCTATGTCTACACAGACTGCGGAACCAATTCCTGTGACGGCCCAAATCCAAGCAGCACCATCTCATGATCGTGACACAATTTCTCAGTCAACTCAAAGGTCTCAATCTAACACAAACGTCAAAAGCAAAAGCAAACCGAAGCCCTATTCTTCACAAAAACAAAGTGGCAGAGCCCCAAAAGGGTCAGATGATAAAATTAAATTATTTAACAAATACGGATCACTTGAGGACATGGACGTGTCCGATAACGTCCATTCTAGGGCACACAGCTTGTCGCCCTCCTAAAAGGTGCGGGATAGATCCCCAATTAATCCGCCTAAAAGATAGGTCTTTCTAAAAATATCGTGCAGTGGAATTGCAGAGAACTACGGACCAATTTTAATGAAATACAACTATTAATCCAGGATTTAACACCATCAGCCTTCTGTCTGCAAGAAACGTATCTTAAACAGACATATAATTTTAGCTTACGTCAGTTTGAAGCCTATCATTATTTTTCCCTCTGGGTGATAGGGCCACTGGAGGTACTACTATCATTATACGACAGGATGTTATTCACAGTGCTGTTATGCTCTCTATATATTCCGCCTTCATCGGCACTTCAACAGACCGATCTTCAATCCCTCTATGATCAACTCCCGAAGCCCTGTGTTATAATGGTTGACCTAAACGGTCATAACCCGCTCTGGGGCAGTACTAATACTAATACTAAAGGTATAATACTGCAAGATTTCATTTCCAATAATGACCTGTGTATATATAATGATGATTCAAGCACCTATCTGCATCCTGCAACTGGCACTTATTCTTCTCTATATTTGTCTCTTGCAGATTCTAACCTCAACACTCAATTTGATTGGTCTGTTCTTAATGACCTTTGTGGAAGTGACCACTTCCCAACCATCCTGTCAGAAATAACTCCATCTGATTCTCCATCGCATACAAGATGGAATTTTTCAAAGGCTAACTGGTCCGTTTTCAAAATATGTGTAAATCGAAACTACGACCTGAATGTTTCAGTGACGTAACTGATCCCATTCAGATTTTTGCTGACGTTTTAAAGGAAATAGCTGATGAGTGTATACCAAAGTCCTCTACAACTCCACATGTACGGAAACCATGGTTTAATACAGATTGTAGACAAGCCAGAAAAGCGAGGAAAGAGGCAAAACATTATTTCCGTCACCATCCAACTGTCCATAACTTAAACATATTTAAAATACTTAATGCGAAGGCACGTCGTACCTTCAAACAAAACAAACGACGATCTTCGAGGAAGTATGTCTTCAATATTAATTCACGCACGCCTATGTCTAAGGTGTGGAACATAGTTCAGAGAATAATAGGCAAAGGTTCAAAATCTGCTGTTCACCATCTTAAAGATGGTGATTATTTAATAACTGACAATTCTAAAATTGCAAATACAATTGGCGAAACTCTTGCCAAAAATTCATCATCGGCAAATTATGTTCCTGAGTTTCATAATTATCAGAAACAACAGGAAAAGACAAAATTTAATTTCGAATCAAATAACGGTGAAGATTATAATGAAGTGTTGTCTTTACATGAGATACATACCACTCTTGAGCAAGCTCATGACACTGCTGCGGGTGAAGGCAATATACATTATCAGCTTCTGAAATGCTTGCCTGAACCATGTCTGGTCACACTTCTAGATATATGTGACCAAATATGGACGTCTGGACAATTCCTCCTTCATGGTGTAATGCCATTGTAATCCCAATACCAAAACCTGGCCGAGACCATATAGATCCATCGAATTACAGACCTATATCTCTCACCAGCTGTGTCTGTAAAACCATGGAAAGAATGGTGAATAATAGACTAACTTGGTATCTTGAAACCAATAACCTTATATCAAATATCCGGCACCCGTGAAGAGCCACCTCCTAGTGGTGGGTGCTGGGTAACGCTAAGCGCTCTAGCGCTCTTCAACCCCCCCGTTGTGGACCCGGGGCTATATTTGGTCCACCAACCCGTTTACCGTGGGCTGCGTCCCTGTGTCGGTGGAGGACGGGAGTCTGGTGGTTGAGGGCACTGATTCCAGGAACAGTGTTCCTTTGCCCAACACGCCACTTCGCCCCTTACTTCACCTAGACGGGTTGTTGAATGGGCCCCGTTCAACCAATCGGCTGGTCATGCCATGCCCTGTGCATTGTATTTGAAATTGCACAAATTTGATTTCTATAAATGATCCTGATAAGGGCATTGGTCAAATTACTTCATTGAATTTATATTGATTTAAAACTTCAACAAATATTAAATTTGCTCAGAGTCGTATGCCCAGAAGGCGGTGGCTCATGGGCCAATCTAGTGGATTAATTATTTATAATTCTTCTGCTGGAGTATATCATCTGAGTATCCTTTGTGCTGCAAGTTGGAGGCCCACTTGTTTTTAGCATTGTCCTCGTGGTGCTCCGTGGTGGGTGGGGAGCTCAGATGGTGAACTATATTAAACTAATTATGGACTATGTGAGAAGGTGATAGTTATTATGGGTCACAATGTTTAAAGTTTTGAGAGTGGATTGCGGCTCACATCTTGCATGATGTATGTTCCATGGCAATAGTATTTTTAGTGGTACGCCTTTTTGATAGCGCACCAGAGTTTCTTCCCTTGGCTATATTTTGTTTTGACTCCCGCTCGTATGTTCAACACGATTCGTGAATGTTCTCAGTGGATAAAGAATGTTCTAGACACTGTGTCAGTTTATATAAAGGCTGGTTGTTGTGTTGACAAAACACACACGGGGACGAGCACACGGAATTACACGGGACTTATCATATCACTGGAGTTGTGTACATCTTTCTACCGTCACCTGCCTACCGTCGTCTGTCTGTCTACATCGTCAAGACCGATTGTCTACTGACATTGTAAGCTACCTTCAATTAGAATATCTGCTAAATGCCAAGACTCTGTTGAGTTAATAGTTCATATTGTTTACCCATTACTTTAGATTTGTCACTCAATTGCATTGTACTAAATATCTGTATTGTCATTCATTGCAGCTTGCTCATTGTTTGCTCAATATATTATTGAATATTTTAGACTTGTCTGTGTTATAGTTTGCTGGTTCAAAGGGGATTCTTAAACCTTTTGTCACGGCAATTTATTAATTGTTACATAAGATCTATATTTGTATGAATATGGAAGCTCATATTCTAATTGGGTCATTTGTGACTTTCAACCAGCACTGAAAGGTGGTAATCACGATTTTGGACCCACGAGGCCGGGAAAGTCGGGACGTTTACTTTCAGTGACTGAAACATCCAGCAGAAATACATTCGAAATCCGGTTTTACTAGTTTTCTTAATGGTTCTGGCTATGGTTTTAACGCTTTTGTAAGCTTATGGACTAGGGCGTGCATTTAGATGTGCCTGTATCATGAGTGTTACATTACCTTGTGTGATTCAGATACAAATACAAACTGAAGACTGTGGCACGGAAGTGGGTGGTGGTCCCTTCTGTACATGTGGCGTGGCAGTTCGAGCAGGAAGGACCGTGTTTGCGATCAGTCACTGTGAGTCCCTCACCTGGCACATCGGCTTCACGGCTTGTGGAGATTCGGGAGAAGTGCTGCAAGTTAGAAGAGAATGGAGTAGTTACGTGGTTGGTGTTTTCCCACAATATCTGATCATCATGAAATACATAACAAATTAACTCCTATAAAGTTTATGAATAATCAGCCTGTTAAGATTTTCATTTGGTATCTCTGACATGACTGCTTAGTTACCACACTGTTTAAATGTGGATTAGATCCAGATTAACTGGTCAGTGATCTAATGCTCAATGATGCACCAACATCATATGGTTTAAGGCTTTCTTTAAAAAAACACTTAACAAAATAACAAAACAAAACATGTCAAATATTTTCATGCATTTGCTGAAAATATCCACACTAACATGGATAAATTACAATGTTTTCATATCGATACAAATTTTGTCTATTGTATTTGTATCTGTTTACGCTTTCAGATCCTTCTACCTACTGGAAATATAGTTTATGTTGACCTACATTCATACGATCCATATTTTCTGAACGTTCATGTTACATCCTCTGTTAACGACGTTGAAAAGTCCCGCGGTATGTGTGGTAAAATATCAACACTGGACGACGACTTGATAAAGAGAGACGATTCCGTTGCTCATTCTACCGATGATTTTGCAGAATCGTGGAGGTATTAAACATTAAACTGAGGGTTCGTTTTGATCATAGATGTTACCAATACCCTATAAAGTCCATATGACATTTTTCATGCAGGAATGACTTCATTGAGGCACGCTAAATACATAACATATCCATACGTCATACACATCTTTCTCAAAAGGTTTTTGATTCCAGAGTAAAGTGGATGGTATTTTGAAATTACATGTATCAGTGTCAAAACAGAGGCCCGATACAATTCGCTAGTTTTACCTGTGGAATATCTTCGTATGTGTTTTTTTCACATGAAGAAAAAACGTGCCTTTGCATGTGTTTGTGACATGCTCACATTTGCATGCAAACCTGGCATGATCACTACTTGAAAATAATTGATACACATGCTTAACACATCGTCTGAATCGTTGCTTTGATATTTTCCTCATGGTTTTGATTTTGTTGCTGAATGTTTTTAACAAAACTATGACTGGGCTATCAATATGGATGTTATTTGGAAAATGTGATCTACGACAGGATTAACGAATATATACTCCAGTGAAATAGATATTTGCTCAGTTACATTACGAATATGTTTTTCATCCGTCATATTATTCAGATAATAAAATATTTGGGCTCCTGATACCATGCCGAAGCTTGCCAGCCAAATGTGATACAAATGCACCATTTCATATACTAGTATTCTGTGTTCTAGGGTAACGGCCCAAGATAACCTGTTTGACCCTGACATTATTAGCGGCGGATTGACATCCTATAAACCGCTTTTTCAATACTGCACGTGCGAACGAGAGACAGATCCTCAAAATCCAAGTATAACATGTGCCGCCATGGCTGCCTCTGAGACGTGCGTAACTCCAGCCAGAGCTGAGGATATCAAGCCGAAAAACTGCATCATATCAAAGAGAAAGAAACGCATGGCACAACACTTTGTGAAACGAATCAAAAGGGTAAACTATTACATTACTTTTCTGCATACTTGTAATGTACAACCAAGTTCGGAAGACATTCAGAAATACATGTCTTGTATGTAGTTGATCCCGGTAAGCTTTAATCAGGCTACTTAATCAATGGTTCATATGCATATTGGTATCATATAGTCGGATTCTTCATATGTACCCTGCTTGTAATAGTAATTTCCCATAATAATGAAAAAGGATATTTTGAGAGACTGAGTTCTGAAACAGGTTTTTGATAATGCAATGTGTTTGTAATTCATCTGTTAATCCGAATGTCCTTGTTTCAGCAAATTACATCTCTTAACGAATGGTCGAATGGTTGGAATTTGACTTCGGCACAGGACTATTGCGATGAAAGGTTTTCCAAGGCTGAGTCGGTGAAGGTGTGTAAAGACGTTCCGGGTGTCAACGTCGCCGACAGTATAAAGACCTGTGTGAATGACATTCAGGTGAGGTTACTTATAGATCTCATGAAAACTGGTTTTAACACATTAGTACAACTGTAAAAACAGCATGAAGGTTAGTAACGGAAATGTTTCATTGAGCTCCTGCGAAGTAGGGTGAGATATTATGGGTAGATAAGTCAAACATTGTTTCATGTGTCGCTATTCCTTAAGTTATGAAATGTGGAGCTGCTTAGGATAGTTGACTTTTAGAATATCCCACTGTAGTTTGAGAGAGTTCAGGAAGGTTTCTATATCGTTTCGTCTTGATTAAATAGTTCACCCGGAATCAATTCGTAAGAGAGTTTGTTGTGAAACCAACAAGAAACAATGAAATGCGCTGTGATAAACAATTGTATTCTAAATTTAATTCAGTTCACCAATTCAGTACAACGCTATGGTAGTATAATAGGTCGGTAATACAGGTTCATATTAAGTTAATAGGTGTTTACAGCAATATAGACAATGATGGTAATATTAAACTCTCGGAGACAGAAGAAAAGGCTAAAGAGAGTATCCTGGGTATGATCATCACATACAAAGCTGTTCTTATAGCTTCAAATGTAATAAGAGATGAGGGGCAAGAGTGATACCGTATATACCAGAAGAGCAGAAACAGTCAGATGAATATATCAACACTGTAATCACTGTTTATGATACCAATCTGCCCTTGAATTTTATTGCCGCTTTATTTAGATTTTTTTACTGTACTTTCTGTGTTGTGATTTGGAAACTTTGTTAATTTTAGAATGCACTTGTTAATCATATGCCATTCTATCCCTATTTTTTTGTTGTTTCACAAGGACATATTTTACCAACTGATTCCCAGATATTTTGTAGTTTCAACCTCGGAATCTCTACGTAACAATTTGTAAGCGTAGGTGACTCTAGAATACAACTGTTTATTGCATCACATGTCCTTGTTGTTTGTGGCTATCAGCCCGAATTCTGGTATGTTAACTTGTTGTTTCAACTTGGGAATCGACACGTTAGATAACAAACACTTGTGTGGCAAGGTGTTTTCTCTTATGACGAATCTGTGCGTTCCAGGTCGTGTAAATTGTACATGTTGTTATAAAATATGTTGATGTGTGACACACAAGAATCAAATATTTGTATATGTGCAGGTTAGTAGGTTACTGAGAAGATTACATTACTTTCGTAGCTCAGCGGTACTACAGATTTTACTTCTATGGCGTTGGAAAGCGTACGCGTGAAATGTGTAAGTGAAGCCATGCTCAACCCTGCCCTCCGAGAGTCTACGGCTGGTGAACCATCCATCTTTGATAAAATAACAAAAGACACATGTATGCATGATTGTAATGGAAGAGGTACCTGCAATGACGGTGAGTAATTAGACGTTCACTTCGCAATATCCCACCAATATCAAAGCTGAATATAATAAAATTTTGTTTCATATATGTGTCATTTGAGGATACACATAAATCTCATTTGCTACAAACACATTATAGGGGAGTTGGCGCCATTGTTCCTGCAAAACAACACCAAGATTCCGGGGTTGGTTCTTGAGAGTGCGCATACGTCTACCAAGAGTTTCCCAGATATGCTCAATTAGATTGAAATCAGGCGGTTTTGACGGCCAGTCAACGTTGATTCCTGCGTTCTGCAGGTACTTCCTGGTGAAGACGGCTGTATGGAGTCTGGCATGTTGGCAACACTTTCATGTTGAAAGTGCAGAATTGGACCATGTGCTGCCATTAATGGAATAAGATCGGGGGCTAACATCTGGTCGCGGTAACCTGCAGCATTAAGGTTCCCAGAAGTCGGGAACGGGCAATCCCACAGAAAGAGCCCCAAACCTCGACACTTTCGCTCCCAAATCTGCCAACTTCCTGTACACAACACTGATCATTACGTTCACGGCATCGCCACCACACTCTCATCCTGTCGTTGGACGAAAACTTAAATCCCATGATCATAGATCGCAACAAAGCTTGGTGTCCAATAGTGTATTTACAGAGACCTGTCGTGGCCTCGTAAAAACATTGAGGATCTAAACATTGCAAATCGCACATTTGAAACTACAATCGCAAGGAGAATCACACACAACTGGCACCGCATCACATTGCAGCCATATGCTCCTTTTCCACTTCCGCCCAAAGGGGCCGCAACTCGCACAACCACATACCACCAATAATTTTCCTACATTTACACTCCTCCCAAATTAGTATCACTAATTTCCAAAAATGAAGGTCATAAAGCTAAAGAGTTACATTACATAAGATGATCCAAATAATATATTCAATGTTCTGTTCGGAACAGAGGGCACAAACAAGTCTTTGCTCCTGAAACAATATGCAAAGGTCATACACAGCATAACCAAACTAAAGTTCAATCTTCTGATTCAAGTAACAGAACCAACTTCTGGATTCGTCTCTCCAGATATGTCGCCTAAGACCCGGGTTCGAATCCCCACATGGGCACAATGTGTGAAGCCCATTTCTGGTGTCCCCCACCGTGATGTTGCTGGAATATTGCTAAAAGCGGCGTAAAACCAAACTCAGACAGTCAGTCAGTCCAGATATGTCACAGTGCTGGTTCGTTCTCTTTGCACTAAGAGACCTATCCCTAACCACTACCCTGACTTTGCGAACATGTTTGTCCTCATCAGCATAGACGTGACATAAACGAGCAACCTGCCAATGATTACGAGGCAAATTCTCGTCTTTGACTAGCACAATGTCCCCAACTTGGAGAGATCTTGGTCGCAGCCACTTTTGTCGTTCTTGTAGTGTTTGCAAGAATTCATGCCTCCAACGATGCCAAAATTCATCTGCAAGATGTTGCACACGTCGCCACTGCTTTCTCGAGTACGTGACTGTTCGTTGAAACTGTCCTGGTGGTGGCAGGATGATTTTAGTTTTCAACGTCAAGAGATGATTGGGTGTCAGGGGTTCTGAAGATAGTGGGTCATTGAGATGCTCCACAGTCAAAGGTCGGCTGTTGACTATTGCCATAGCTTCCGACATAAGGGTTCGTAGTCCTTCATCGCCCAGTTGCCCACCGGCTGTATCCATGAGAGGTGACAGTAGCTGCGAACAGTGCAGATCTGCGGTTCCCATACTCTCCCCATGTGATTTGCCGAATGGGAAGTAATCACAGTTTTCCCTTAAGAGGGAAGTCCTTCACAAGTTCCTCTTCAAATTCTCTCTTGGCACCAACAAAGTTAGTACCTTGGTTGCATCGCAGTTCACGAATAGGTCCACGTATGGCTATAAAACGACGTAGGGAGTTAATGAAAGAATCGGTGCACAGAGAATTTGTTGTCTTGACGTGAATAGATCTGCCTACTAGACAGGTGAACAAGACGCTGTACCTCTTCAGCTCTTTCCTGTTTTCCTTTAGGTAGAAAGGACCAATAGGTCAAAATGGTGGTGCTTTCTTCATTCCGTCAGTTGGAAGGTCAGCCATTTTCTGATCCAGCACAGAAGCTCTATATTACCTACACCGCACACATTTCGAGATGAAGTGTGAGACTGCTTATCCACAGCCAATTATCCAGTATCCGGTTGATCGGATTGGATTACTTGACATTCCTCGTCCCTGATGTTCGACTCTCTCATGACAATCACGTATAATGAGATTTGTGATGTGGTGGTTCTTTGGCACAATCACAGGATGCCTCAAATTATCAGACAATTCAGCTTGGTGAATTCGACCTCCGACTCGCACAATACCATCAGCATCAAGGTAAGGGTTAAGTTTGTACATTGGACTTGTTCCCTTCAGAGCATTCTTACTGTCTTTCGCACACTGTCTGTCAGATTTCTCAGATGTCATCATGGTTTTCAGAGTTTTGACCTCATCAGGAAATGATTCTTCTTGAACCATTTTTACTATCACACGTTCCGCCCACTGCAAATCTGTTACATCAGTCGATAGACTGGGAATTGTCACTGTCTTCAAAGTGCGATGCGAGCCTTCCCCATGACAAAGGTGCAGTGAATGCTGTCTTTGCCATCTGTCATTCTCAGATGAGAACACTGACAGTAACCTTCAGGGCTTGCATAGGAGAAGTGGTGCATTTCACAGCTTTGCACTTCCCCAAAGTCTTTAGGCTTGTTGCATCGTTCGACCCTAACGGTTTTCAGAAGAAACAAGTCATTTTGCCTCTGGTCCCATTTTTGTTTCAGAATGTGTGCCAACAGATCATCCCAGTCTGCACTGTCCCAGCACATCTGTTGTAGAATTGCTTTTCCACTTCCAATTACTGGAGCGATGAAACCCAGCCGGTCATAGATCGAGCTGACCCCAGACAATATACCACGCCGTCTGAGCGGTTGATCTTGCAATATGATCCTGAACTGCAGCGTATCTGACTCGATGCACCATGTGACACCTAATGCTCTTTCCACAGGTAGAGAATCTGTCGACAGGTTAATGTTCTTCATTCCACTTGCCTTGTCTTCTGTAGTAAGATGAGCAATAACATCTTTGGGGTGGGCGCAAATGTCCTTGGTTTTATTGATCAAATCTACAGCCTCCTCTGTAGTAGGTACTGATGCCAACCCATCATCCACATAAAAATTCGTTCGTAGGAAGTTTGCAGAATCCACACCACAATCATCCTCGTAATCATTAGCAAATTGTTTCAGGCTGAAGTTCGCACCTCCGGGAGATGAAGTTGCACCAAACAAATTGACGGTCATTCTGGATTCAGTAGGTTGTCCTTTTAGATCCTGTGTGTCCCTCCAAAGGAATCTAAGATAATTTCGATCACACTCATCAACCTTGAATTGATGAAACATCTGCTCAATATCGCACATTATGTCAACTTGCACCTTTCCAAACAGACAAAGAACTCCAACCAAAGCATTGATCAAGTCGGGTCCCCATAACAAGTGATCATTGAGTGATTCTTCACAATATCGCACACTACAGTCAAAGACCACTCTGATTTGTCCTGGTTTTGGGGGTTATATAGTCCGTGTTGAGGAAGATACCACACATTATCATCACTGAGCTCAAAAGCTGGTACCTGCTCCGCATGTCCAGATAATGACTTGATGATATTTTGCATAAAGGTGGCAAAATCCTTCCAGTATTTGGGGTTCATCAGAAACCGTTTTTTCAGTTGCATCAACCTTTGCAAGACCACTGATTTGTTGTTTGGAAGCTTTGGTTTAGAGTTTCTGGATGGTAGTGCACACTCATAGTGATTGGCATCTCTTTGATGGATGCTTTCCTTCATCTTTGAAAGGAATTTCCTGTCATCACAGGACAACACCACATGTTCAGACCTTTGTTCACTGAAATCAAGTTCCATCATTTGTGTCGCACTGCGTGGCACAAACTCCTTTTTACCGTTGTCTGGAGTGACACAAAGACTCGTTGGACATTTCTCCATCGTAGGCACACGCAACTTAGAAGGAACTTCGCATGCCAATACTCTATGGCTTGTTCCAATATCATCGCAGTTCTCAACTTGGCTGTGGTCAACTGTTCCCACTATGCCCCAGCCGACATCAGTTCGCTCTCCATAAGGCTCATTATCGTTGACAAAAGGAATGACTTCACGAGGCGTCAATGCACGGGAACAGTTGTAACCTATTAATAGGCGAACTTCAATGTCAAAAGCTCATCTGCAACTTTCTGCAAATGAGGCCATAATCACGCCATAATCACGCCTTCACAGGAGATGGAATGTGGTCTTTGTTTGCAGGCATGATTTCCCTTGAGTACGTTGTAAGCAAAGAAATCTTAACCTCACAATTAAATCCACGCACAATTAGACAACTAATCCTTTTGCTATCTTTTTCTGGATCCTCAGATGACATGGTAGATAACATCAGATTCATGGAAGGGTTCAAAACATCACAGACACTGTTCAGCACAAAGATTGTGTCCGATTGTGTGTCGACTAGTGCATAAACAAGTCTTTCATGTTCAGGCTGCTCACAATGAGATACCCAAACTGGCACTATCATTGAACACTTGCCGCCCTGTCCACTGTTGTTGTAAGAGACACTTGAATGAGCGCTAGTTGCTTTCACAGAGTTTGTTTGATTAAGTGGCTAGAGAAGTAGGATGGAACTTGGAACAAGTAGAACACATTTTACGTTGCTTACAGTCACGTGATCTATGTCCTTCCTGAAGGCATCCAAAACGCAACCACTTCTCTCTCCTTCCGTTCCCTTATTGGCTTATCCACTTATCCAGGAACAACCTACATTTTTCAGTATCATGCCCCTTGTCACAAAAGGGACATTTCAGTACATTGTCTTTCCCTTGTGGAGCTGTGACCACAGTAGAAAACGTGCTGCTGGTGCGCTCTCTGTGGAATTTCATGGGTTCAGAATACGATTTCCTGTGTGGCTTTGTAGCA